GACTCCGTCATTTGACTCGGAGCGTGTCATTTTCTCCCATTTTAGACTGTACAGTCAAACTGTGTGAAAGGACTCACAGCTAGGGGCCCTACGTGTGTGAGTGGGCGCGGGCCTCATTCAGCAATGATTTCTAATTTATACAGCATTGAAAATCTGCAGCTATAAATAAACAGCTGACTGGCTTAGCTGCCTACTCAAAATCCTTTATTAAAAAAAAAAAAAAAGGCACCAGCAACGACGTGAGGGAGGAAAACAAGACCGCCTGACTGTGGGATAAATTGGGTTTCTGAGCCTCTGGGCCTGGGAAGGAGGCTGAGGGATCCTGGAATGGGACCAAAACGCAGGTCTCAGGGCTTGGGCAGGCAACCTCATCCCTGTGTCTCCCTCAGCCCACTCACGCTCCCCACATGCACCTCAACGTGTCTGAGGATTACTGTATATGAAACTGGCTTCCTGTTATGACAAATACTTCAGGCGAGTAGGTGCAGAGTTACTTAAAATAGCTCGTGGAACGTATGACCCTTTGGTTGGAAGAAGAGGTGAATATGGTGTTTTCGACTGCCAGGGAAGTGTTTACTCAAACCTGGTTTCACTTGTGAGAGCGACCTGGGGACAGAGCTTGGGGATGGGCCAATCAGGCCTGGGGTTGGGGATGAGAGGAATCGCTTCTTCCCGGGCCTAAGGAAGGGTCTCCCACTGCTCTGAGGCACTTGACCGCTATGTCATTGCAAGGTGGGATTAGTTTGGTACTAGCATTGCTATTTTGCTCCGCAATACAAAAGGGAAGGAAGTGGGCTCGGGAATCAATTATCTGTGTGATTATTGGACCTGTCATCTACCTGTCCTGTCCCACCCAACCCCCTCTGGATCCAGAAGTCTGCTGGAAACAGGCTCTCTGGGACCAAAGGGTTGGGCACAGCTCTTGCCAACTCTAGTAGCATCTTGATAGCTTAAAAAATGATCACGGGGGTGGTGGTGTTGAGGGGAGAGTGTTTTCACCATGGAAAGGAGCCAGCATCATGAATTAGGAGCTTAATTTGTTGGTGGTCATTAAACATGTACCAGCACACCACTATCAGAAGGTCAATCTAACTCATTGTAAAATGGGGACCCAACACATTTTCCACATACGTAGTACTGTGAGGCTGAAATGGGAGTGATTAGGAATTACACTACTCAAGTATGACTGCTGGCATCATCATTTGGCTTCTGTTATTATCATATTCTTACCACTAAGGCCCCTAACACAGCCTGATGCAGGCAGCAAATGCTGTATGTCTTTTCATGAATGTTTAATCAGCATTCATTTTGTGTCTTGTTGCTTGTAATTTAACTACACCAGCCCTAAGAAACACCTGTCTGCTCCTTGTTCATGTGCCCAGTGGGACACCGGGTTGAGGTATTTCTGGTGTCAGAACAGAACTGCACGGTGGCCAGCCACGCGGACATCAAGGTTTAATTTGGTGGCAGGACAGTAAAGCCGCAAATAGAAACGGTCTCGTCTGGAACAGGAGTTAGTATGCCTGTGAGAAGAATGCAGCCCGGGCCATCTTCAGGGTGTGGAAAACTGGGGTGATCCCCTGTGAGCTTCACATTCAGGGAGTTTCCAGCCTGACAACTGCTCCTGGGCCTCCACTGAGACCAGGTGCTCCAGGCAGTTAAGAGTAGCAGCAGGTGTGAGCAGGAGGTGGGGCTCCTGGTTCAAGGGGGGGAAATCTGGAGGCTCATAGCCCACCGAAGCTAGGAGGAAAAAACAAAACAGGATTCTTGGTACTTGCTCTAGTCTGATAGTTTTTCCTTAGGATGTGAGCCCCAAATCTCAGACTACTTCACTCTTCTATACATCTGTAATTCTTTCAGGATTTTCTCTGGTGTCTACTTTTACCCAGCCCCTCCCTGTATAACGTTAGGTCAGGAAGCCAAGTGGGTACTCCACTGGTGCCCGCTCTACTATCATGGTGCCCACATCCCAACCCACACTGAGAGGACTCAATCGTGCTTTCCCATCACCAGACACTTGCCACTGTGTTCTCAGAAAGTGACCCTAGTAGGACTGTGGCAGATCTTACTCACAGCTAGAAACTTCAGCAGTTACATGGGGCGTAATGGTGAGAGCAATCATGGGATGAGATGGGTGCTGGCAGGAAAAACTCCCACGAGCTTCAGTAATGAGGAAGGAAAGAAAGCTTTGGGAAGAGAACGGAAGGAGAGAATCCCGCATCTGTTCAGGAGGGCTCTCCTCCACTGTGAGGGTAACACACAGGGTGGTAATCCTGGCTTAAAACAAAAGGGACGTCAAGGAGAGGGCTCAGTGGTTAAGAGCACGTACTCCTTCCTCCAAGAGGACTCTGGTTCAGTTTACAGTGCCCAAGTTAGATGGCGCATAACCACCTGGAACTCCACCTGCAGGGGAGTTCATATCCTCTTCAGGCCTCCCTCTGCTGGCATGTCACTTCACTTACACACACACACACACACACACACACATACACACACACACACACACTCACACTCCGCATATATACATAATTTTAAAAATTAAAAAGAGAGAATCACACCACACTGTCTACAGTAGGTAATTTAAATCCATGGGGGACATGTTGTAGCTACTCCAGCAGGGGGAGGACAGTTGCTGATAAAACCCTTTCTCCTTTCTCGATAACAAACAGGAGCTGAGACAAAAAGCCCTTTCAAAAAGGGTTACTAACTAGGCAGCTTTAGAGGTAAAGGTCCCTTCCCACGTGGCTGACCCTGGGAAACCCAGAGCAATGGTCACAGAGGACTGCGTGAGGCAGGAATCTTTTCTTAGCCATAGTCTGGAGTGGCCTGCATAGAGACGAGCCTGCACCCTCGGCCCATTCACATGAGGGCTATTACAGCACCCACACACCCACAAGAGACAACACAGAGGTAGGCTTAGCACCCACTCCCTGGCCTCCTGAGGGATTTCAGAGACAGACTTGACACATTTTCTTCATTGATTATTGCTATATTTTCATAAGAGCCTGTCTATCAGTTGTGGTTCTTTCAAATCCGATAGCTTTCTACTGGTGTCTTAGTTGGGGTTTTATTGCTGTGATAAAACACCATGACCACGCCGGGCGGTGGTGGCACACGCCTTTAATCCCAGCACTCGGGAGGCAGAGGCAGGTGGATCTCTGTGAGTTCGAGGCCAGCCTGGTCTCCAAAGCGAGTTCCAGGAAAGGCACAAAGCTACACAGAGAAACCCTGTCTCAAAAAACAAAAAACAAAAAACAAACAAACAAACAAAACAAAACAAAACAAAAAAAACCACCATGACCAAAAGCAACTTGGGGAGGAAGGGGTTGTTTTGCTTACACTTCTAGGTAACAGTCCATTACTGAGGGAAGTCAGGGCCGAGTTCAAGGCAGGGCAGGAAGCTGGAGGCAGGAACTCAAGCAAGGGCCATGGGACCATGCTGTTTACAAAGGCCATGGGATCATGCTGTTTACTGGTTCTTTCTCCATGGCTTTCCCAGCCTGCTTTCTTAGATAGCCCAGGACAACCTACCATGGGTTCTACCATCCACATCAATCCTCAGTTAAGAAAATACCCTATAAACTAGCCTACAGGCCAATCTTATGGAAGTATTTTCTCAGGTAAGATTCCCTCTTCGCTCTTCCCAGATACGTACAGGTTTGTGTCAAAAAAAAAAAAAAAAAAGTTGACAGAACCCAACAAACACAGCTGGAGATAGCATCTGATGCCTGAGCACAGGGCTGACGGCCTAACAACCAGCAGTAGGGAAGATTGGCTCTGCAGTATAAGCAGAACCTGGTCCTGCTGGAGTACAACAAGAATGTGGGTGATTAAAACCAAGTCCAACTAAGGGCCTTAATCCCACATGTGCAAACCCTAACACAGAAACACAAAAAACATGCGTATCTTTATATGAATACTGTTTAATTCGCTCATGAAGAATGAAATTATGTCCTTTGCTGGGAAGTAGATGTACCTGGAGAGCATCTAATTAAGGAAATAAGCCAAACGCAGAAAGACAAATATGTTTTTTTTCTCATATGTGGATCTTAAATTATATATAAATACATGGAACTGTGTGTGTGTGTGTGTGTGTGTGTGTGTGTGTGTGTGTG